TTTGGCACCATAAGAAGTACCGAATCATCTTGTACTTTTCCTGTGCCAGCTCTGTTATCAGCCATTTCTCCAAAGAGTCTAGGTCCTTTGAGTGGAAAATGGTGTTTAGAAAATCAGATCTGGATTCATCCATTGCTATTGAGATGTTGCTTCTCTTCATACCACTCAGTGAACAAAACTAGGAAAATATATTTTGATGTTATATTTTTATGTAAATATATAAAAATATATCTATACACTCATATTTATAGCTATATTTACCTTTAAATCTATGTCCATGGGTGTTACACACACACACAGAGTTTTGTATATATGTATGTTCTCATGAATATATATAGATATGTATATAATCAACAACATGTATGTAGATATGTTCTCATGGTTTTATATGTATAAAAATATAAATTAATATAAATTGATATGTTCTCATTTTTTATATATAATATATAATTAAAATATATTAAATTTTATAATATAAATATAATTAAAATAAATTTAAATATATATGTATAACCATGAGAACATATCAATATTGAGTTTTATTTATCTTTTCATGTTTGTAAATCTTTTCTCTAGCAGTTAGAAATTGGCTTCTCATTATGCAGAATATATTTACTTATGTAATTAGATTCTTTGCATTTAATCAACTGATGCCATTACGTCCTTCACAATGGATCCAGCCCCAGGCACTGCTTCATTCAGGCTATTCACTGCATATCCACTGTTCTGGCTTTCCTTACCACAATGCGGTTAACTTCCTCACGCTACCCAGGCTCTCACACTACATGTTATGCAGCTTTTCACTGCAGGTGGCCTTCTCACTTTGCTTCCATGGCTTATCTCATTGCACTGTTTCCCCTGGCATTTGCTTTCCTCCTCATATTAAGGCCTTGTCACACATAGGTACACATGTACACACACACACACACACACACACACACACACACTTAGACACTATCCTCACCATCCTTGGGCCCTGATATACCATGCTGGACCACAAGCCAAAATAACTAGATTCTGAGGTCTATAACCACCATAAAAGAAAATTAGCACAATATATACATATATCACCCAAAGTTACCATATTGGAACACATGGTACAAGAATTTAAAATAAGCATTAATCTCAAAAAGGGAATAAAATGTGTTAGCAGTATATAACAAAAATAAGAAAACATTAAGAAATGAGAGGAAATAATAGATATGGAATGTAAGAGAGTTAAAAGAAATATAGTAATTGATAGGGTACGTAGATAGATACAGTCAGAGAGAGCTAACTGAAAAATAAATTCAAGAGCTGGGAGATCAGATTGACCTTTTAGATCCAGAGAGGCATAGAAAAGGATAAATAGAGAAATACAAAATACAGCTACAAGTTCTAGAAACAATATTAGAAGAAGGAAAAAAGGTAAGAGAGAAAATGGTTCAAAAAGAAATAATAATCTTTCCAGAAAAAAAGGAAAAAACACACCTAAACATTTTATTGTTAAATTCAAAAAGCACAAAAATAAAGAGAAAAATTCTAAACGTTTCTACACTGAAAAAGAGTTCAATGTTTCAGGTGCTGCACTAGAAGGAGACAGCCTCTCTAGGTTTTAATTCCATCATCCCTGGGGATTTGGAATAGAAAAAATACCCCAGAGTGCAGGTTTGTTCAAACCTTTTTACAACAGTACCTCCCTCTAGCAAAGATGGGAAGGCCAGCTAAACCCAATTTCTGTTCCAGTATTTAGTCTCTACTTTTTCATTGTTTGCTCATAATCATACGCATTTTTACCTAAGTTCAATCATTATGTTTATCCTTCCGTATTCTGTTCTTTTCACTTATACTGTATCCATGTTTCTACATACTCTTTTTACATTTTAACAGGCACACATTTTATCACAATTTTCTAAGTCATTTCCCTGTTTCAGATGTTTATGTTGTTTTCTGTAATTGCTATTATAGATTATACTGCAGAGAGTTGAATTATTCCTGTAGGATAAATTTCAAAGTACAGGATTGCTATTGTTATTGCTATGAAAAGTAATATTGTCTTACCAATGGGTTGTTTAAATTAGCAATGCCAACAGCAGCAGATGAGTCTTTAGAGCAAGTTTATTCATGATTTTTCTGATATTTATTACTAAAATTTAAAATGTGATCATGGTGCTGATTCTAGTGAAGAAAAACAGACTCTATGAATATTTATGTTCAAACATGAGTATGGAATGATATAAAACAATATGCATCAGGATCAGCACATATGTGAAATGTTAATAAAGAGATGAAAAGTAGCTCTTTGCTGTGTAAATATGTCATTATTTTGACCTAGTCTTTGCCTGGGGATACATAAGGAAGTCCTTTTGTCAGTTGGAAGGATTCAGTATAAATATAGCATTCTTCCCAGAGCAAAAGATTATGTTTATTTTCTCCAACCTCTGTGCTTCTTTTAAATAGTTCTAGACCTCAAGATGTAGAAGGCAGAATAAAATAATTTGAAATATTTCTGTACAAATGTTTAAGATCTCTGAAGGAAATTTAAAAGCAGTTCTCAAAAAATAAACTAAAATATAGCCCAATAAACAGAAGCAAAAATGAAGACAGAATTAACAATCAGGGAAGTAAGTAAAAGAGTTGCAGCTTTGTTTGCCTGGTATTGAGAAGTTGATAAAATTAGAATGGGAATATAGTACACACAGTGGGACAGAAGACATGGTCACGTTCCCATGGAGGCAGGGAGCTGGAAGACCTCTATATCAAATGATGGGTATAGTGTGGGCATGGAAAGACTAGAAACAAATAAACCCACCCATAATAGAGGAAAGCTTTCTTCTTCTTGAGCTCTGGGTGATTAAAAAACTTTAAAAATCTACCTTTCAAAATCCAAAATCCTGTCTTAGAATGTTCTCTACAATCATACTATAGAAACTGTGGGCCAAACAAGTAGCATGAAAATTGTCCCCATGCCGGAGATGTCTTTGGGATGCCTGGCAAAAGGAAATGCAGTACTGGGAAAAAATGTATCCGAGAAATAACCACCTAGAGAAAGACGGAGCAATTATGTTAATATCAAGCAGAGGGAAGGAGGAGATGACTTTAGGAAAAGAAGTTTGGGATAGAGTAGAATTGTGTGGAATAGTTCATCAGAAAGATGTAGTAATTCCAAGCTTGTGTAAAACTATCAAACCTGTCTAAAAATATGTGAAAAAACTTTTGTGGTATTGCCAGAATAAATTGATAAACTGTATATTATTTTAGGAAACTTTAACATGTTTCAGTAATTAACAGAGCAAACATATAGTTTAATTGGTAAGTTTGTAGCCACAATATTTTAAAATTTGACCTCCGGGACAAATATATGGATTGCTGCTCCCATGAATTTTCCTATTCCAATGCATATCCTTCATAAAATGCTTACTGAAAAATTTAATTCTCTATGTATCAGATACAATAGCCTAAAGGGTCACAAAATAAATCTCACCTAATATCAAGGTAGCACACAGACCTTGCTTTTTCTTCATAAATTAAAAGTTATATATCAATATCAAAACAGTAATTCACACATTATATGCCATTATTTGAAAATTATTTGAATTAATACACATACTATAGAAGAAATTAAAATAGAAGTTTTAAAAATTGAGAATCTGTGATATAATAAGACCATATATAAAAATTAATATGCTATAGCCACAGAGAAAATGTGTAGCCTTGAATGCATATGTGTGTATGTATATACTTAATGTGTCAATCAAACATTCCACAGCAATGCAAGGTATTAATAATAGGAACTTGGGAGAGAGAGGGTATTTTGGAACTGTGTACTTTCTGCTCAGTATTTTTGTAAAACTAAAATGCTCTAAAAAACAACGTCTGTTAATTGAAAACAAACCAAAATGCATAGTACCTAAATTAAAAGCACAGTGCTCAGGCTCTAAGTAGATTTACTCACAGACAGATAAGAAACTCAGGGATTCTCTAAAGGCCTCTTTCTTTTTCTTTTGGTTATTATTTTAACGGATTCAGGGTACTGATTTTCCATGTAATTTGTTTGAAAGGGTACATTGAGGGAAAGAAGTAACATATTTATTATTACAATTTTTATCTACCAGTAAGAAGCGACATTTGTGGGCCTGCCAGTATCATGTGCCTACTTTGCATTAGCTGCTTTCAAATTTGCCACAATGCCCTGACACTCCCACCTGGCTACCCTTAAATCTCTGCTTTAAGGAAAACTTTAAAGACACTGAGAACAACTTCCCAACCCAGACTTCTCAGGATCCCGTCAAATACAGGATTAACACATTTCACCTCCAGAGACTGTGTCAATTCTGTGACTAGAGCCCCTCCTGATTGGTATCTTTGCCTTATTTGCAAAATTTTTGAATATCAAACATAAACAGAAAAAAATTCAAAGAGGTAGAGCAATTAGTATAGATTTAGAATAGAGGTAAGGGCCTACAAACCTCAATACAAATAAAAACTCCAATATATGAAAACATGTACAGCTTTAAGAATCTTTATCCTTTCATGTTGTGTAATGCTTTATTTACCATTTTTAAAGTGTTAATTAAATAGTGAGTCACACTGAAAAGGTTATCAAACACATGTTCTTTATCTGAAAATAGAAATGTATTCAATATTCTTTGGAAATGTTTTAATCTATTTTTTCCTTTTTAAAAGTATGTGTTGCCCATATCTCCTGAAGGTCTTCTGAATGCTCTCATAATGAACCCCCATTGCAGCACTGAATGTGAGGTTTAGAAGTGCCTATTTATGGCTCAGAGGTTCAAATAGGCTAGCAATTGTATCTTAGTCATCATTGCATAACAAGCACCTAAAATAGAATCTGCACCAAGTATTGAATAAATATTTGTCAAAAAAAAGTATAACTTTGGCTGAGAACATTCTATTCTGTGAAATTCTTTTGCTGGTGATATTGGATAAATAAATTTTAAGATTTAAAAAATACAATAAAATATAAAGAAACAAAAGTCTTTAAATTTTTGTTTTTTCAGAAATAAGAGTCGTCAGCATGCAAGTTCAGACAGTCACAAAATTGAAAACAGTAACTAACATTGTTGGATATGTAATGGGCTTGACGTCTCCAGGTAAGTAGGGTTAGATACTTATAATCTACACTTTATATGAAACTTTACAAGGAAATGCTCTGTCTTAATTTAATATCACACTTAAATATTCTACTTTAGATATAGCTAGAAATTTGTCCCACTCTTAAATTAGATAACTTTGTAACTAAGAAGTAGGTCTTTATTCTCTTTCCTACCATATCTCTTCAAAAATGAATCTTAGAGAGAGAGAGAGAGAGAGAGAGAGAGAGAGAGAGAGAGGTGGGGGTCTCTCAGGAGGAGATGAAACAAACAGAGTTTAGATTTGGTAAACTGGCATGTTCTACAAAAGCCAAACCTTTTTTTTTTTTTTTTTTGTATATTCATCACAACACTGTTGAAAATTTTATCAAGAAGACATTTTAAAAAATTATTTTTTTCCTCACTGCAACATGTGCCTCCTGAGTTCAAGCAATTCTTGTGCCTCAGCCTCTTAAGTAGCTGAGACTCTGGTGCCTGCCACCATGCGCAGCTAATTTTTTTATTTTATATTTTTAGTAGAGACAGGGTTTTGCCATGTTAGCCAAGTTGGTCTTGAATTCCTGGCCTCATAGGATCCACCCACCTTGGCCTCCCAAAGTTCTGGGATTACATGTGTGAGCCATTGTGCCTGGCCAAGAAAGATTTTAGCTATTAAGTGTTTTCCTTTTCTTTTCTTTTTTTTTTTTTTAAAATGAAAATTTGGTCTCCAAATTTAGTTGTCCAGTTTTAATCTAAGTCCCACTCTGTATCCTTGGTCCATTGCCAAGTTTGTCAAATGTCTACATGGCTTTACGTTTTGAAGGTGCTTGTAAAAATGGTCACCTGCAGCTACTTGGGAGTCTGAGGCAGGAGGATCCCTTGATCCTGGGAGGCAGAGGTTGCGGTTAGCTGAGATTACGCCACTGCTCTCTAGCCTGGGCAACAGAGCAAGACTGTCTCAAAAAAAAAAAAAAAAAAAAAAAAAAGGACAAAAAGCAAAGGTCAAAAGGTCACCTGTTAGATGTTTAAATAATTTTACACTTTGTTAGGGACTACTGATGGACTCTTCAGATGTTATGTAGGCTAAAACAAGTAAAAATAAATGCCATATATTAAGACATTAATAGCAATACTTCCAAACACATTGTAAAGCTGAATCACATATTACTATATGATGTGCCTGTTACACAGTGTAGCATATAACAATCTTTTTATTATACTTTTGCTACTTCTATTGATTATGAGATATTTACTCAGTTTCTCCTTGGAGAATTATTATTCTCCATGGCTTTCATAAAATTGACCTAGTTGCTAGCTCAGAATTTTAAGATCAAGTTTTATAGCCTCCCGGTTTCTTGCTGGCCAACTCTTACAAAATTCATGAAAGCCATTTAGTTTCTCTGATTTCTTTACAGTTACAATGTTGAACAACATCTGATCATAGTGTCTTTAAATACAAGATATAAATAAATTTGAAAATTGTTACTATTGAATTTTAATAGATTTCCAATATAAAGTTCTCAACTGATGCACTAGAATATTTATCATCATTGATACATTTGCAAGTTGCTATTGGAAAACCCAGTTGTACAGATTATACTAGCTTTAGAATGAAGAAAATTCAATGTACCAAATAAGCTCCTAGAATTAAAAAATCAATTTTACAATTAGTATTCTTCAGTGTAAAATATGCAAACATTCTCAAATGTTGCTTATTTGAATTTTACCAAAAAAAAAAAATTGACTTTATTTACTTGACTTTTTATTTAATGGCTTTGAAGATTAGAAACAATCATCAATTAGCATTGTTTCTTAGATATGTTTTATTTAGAAGGCAGAAAATTCCAAGCAAAACTTTGAGACTTATGGTAGAGAAGTGAATAAATTTTTGAGTTTTCAGCATTTACAGACACACTACGTATACCATTAATTAAATCTTAATAAAATGTTGGCAGATCAAATCCATTGCCAGTTTCCATATGGAAAACTAAAATATCTTCATACTGTGGCATTTTTTGTAAGGTAGCTTTCTGGTGTTGTAAGTCAAAGGATGATTTATTTATTCCACACGTGTAAGACCTGCTTTGTGGTAGGCATTGTTCAAAGTGGAAGACAAATAGTAACTTCTCAAACTCAAAACAACTAAATTGAGGATGTACTATTTGTTTTCCTATCTTAGAGATGAAAAAACTAAGATGTTGAAAGTTAAAATAAGCTTTTCAAGGCTATACAACTAGTGACTTGCAAAGCTGGATTCAAACACAAACAGGCTGGATTCTGGGTCTGCACAATTTACCATCAAGTAAAATGATGTTCGATGAAGAAAAATTTTTGCACAGATTAATGAGGATAATTGGTCATTCAATTCAGATATGTTATTAATACCAGTAACACTCACTGACAACAAAATCAGAGGAAACTCTCAAGGGGCATTTTCAGCTTTATTCTTGAAAATATTTGGTAATATACATTGAATAGGCTACTTCCATGTGAAAGGAAGGCTCTCCTGTAGTGTATCTAATACATTCTGAATGGCTGTGTGAAATAAAATGTGTACAATGGCAACTTTTACAACAGCTGAATGACTTTTGATATTGGTGAATTTTATTTTTTCTTCACAGAAAGGAGAGGTCCGGAAATTATAAGTTGGAAGCTATAATTAATTCCCTATGCAATTAATTTATTGCAGAATCCATACATGACTACTATATTTTTAATATTTAAAGCTACTAAACAAGTGCTTTCTCAAATGTATTAATAGTTTGTTAATATTTACTGAGCATACATACATTGTTTACAGGGCACTTCCTACTCTGATTCTGGAAAAATGTTAGAGAAGGGTTTCATTGTGGCATATTTGTATGCTTCATTAATTAATATTCATGTTATAAAGGAGGGTAATGTGAATCTAAGCTTTGCTTTCATAATTGGGTTCAGCAGCTGCCTCTGCTTTTCTATACACAGATGTGTGAATTAAGACAGTGGGCAAAAATATTAAAATAGTCTTAACTATTAGAACAATTTTGCTTAATTATTGCTCAGTTGTGCAACAGGATTATGTAAATATCATTAGATTTATTGTTGAGGTTTATATTTTTTTAAATGGCTCTTGTCCCTTTCTATTTTCAGACCGGTATATCATAGTTGGCAGCCATCATCATACTGCACACAGTTATAATGGACAAGAATGGGCCAGTAGTACTGCGATAATCACAGCGTTTATTCGTGCCTTGATGCCAAAAGTTAAAAGAGGGTGGAGACCAGACCGAACTATTGTTTTCTGTTCTTGGGGAGGAACAGCTTTTGGCAATATTGGCTCATACGAATGGGGAGAGGTAAAACAAAATATACATTAATTACAGTGTTTTTCTTAATTTGCTAAAGTAGATGAAGTTAAATTGTGGAAGCCCAGGGCAATAACGTGCTTCTCAACCAAAATGTCACATGACTGGTTTGCTGAGATGGCTCATAAGAATAAGAGGAAATTAGAGCTAACCACAGCAAACTACCTGTGACCTGCAAGTATCTTGTCCCTGTTGTTACCAGACTTACAAACCCTGATACGATCTAGCACATCACAGTGTTTACCTGATGATGTATTTCTCCTTAGAAGACAGGTCGACAGGCACTGGACAAAAGAAGGGCCAGATGATGCATATTCTCTTTCTTTTTCTACACTTTCTAGGAATTATCTGGAATTAGGGAACAATCTCATATTAAATGTTCATTACCTTAGTGTTATATTTTATCTATACACTATGGATATTGAATGTAAAATAGCAGTTACTGTCCTTCCTTCCTCACTCCATTTTTCCTCCTTGTACCACTCCACCCTTCACCCTTATCTCTCTACCTTTGCTTCCTACCTGCCTGTCTGTTGCCTACCTGCCTCCCTAACCACTTCAGGAAACCTGTATCCAAATGAAATCTAGCATGCAATGAGGTACAGTTAGAAGACCACTGGAATATTGGAGAGTTTTAAGTCTCAAATGCTTCTGAAAGGTCTGTGTCTCATAAATGCACTGTATTTTAATGGAATATGATAACTGACAACTGGATCAATAGAAATTCTATTTACTTTTGGGATTTGTCTTAAAAACAAGGTTCAGAAGACATATATAGACCAAATATGTAGACCAGTAAAATAGACAATTTTACTAGGAAAGTAAAATAATTTAATATTATCGTTTTTTCCACTACTTTAGCTTTGAGAAGAAAAATTTAATAAGAAATTATTTTGCTACATTTTTATTTTTAATCATGCAAAAAAGAGAAAATATATTAAATCAAAGAAAATATTTTAAAAAGGTATAGAAAAGAAAATAGCAAGTATCTTTTTTAATTTGAGGGAAAGAAAAGACTTAAAGATGAGAAAATTTTTTCAGTGTAAAATTCATCAAGATTCACACATTGCAAATTGGAATGCTTTTCTGTATGCAAATGAGTGGTGTGAATGTTTAAGCCATATTCAAAATGAATGAATGCAAATGAAAAAATTCCACTGCTTAAAGAATATTTTTAAGTTGACAAATTTGCAAGTAAGCTGGAAATGAAATAACCAAACGAACCTCTCAAACTCATATTCCAAATTACTTTAGAGATTGGTAAACAAGTTAAAGACCAATTTAGGGAAAATGTTTGTAATCTGCACCATTATTAGTAAATCAGAAACAATGAAATTAATGTTTGAATATCCCTGTAACAATAAAGCACACATCTTTAAAATGCCTCAAAGATTCTTTTCAAATTCCAAAGATGTATTTTGCTATATCAAACTATATTTTAGGTCTTTTATTTACCTATCTAGTAACTTTCACAATTAATTTATGTTAATTCTAAATTAATATGTATATTTCTGAACTATGTTTTCAAGTAGTCTTGTCTAAACTAGTAGTTTCTAACATAAACGTCTTAAACCCCAGTACATAGGAAAATTTATTATGAAGTTAGTTGAGCATCAATTGTCAGAGTCTGTAAGTTGAATCAATGTGTTCTTGCATGTGTGTGAGCAATAGTTTTTGTCAAATTAAGCTGATATTTTTGTGGTTAATACACATTCATTTTTAAGTTTTTGTGAAGTCATTATACCTTTCAATAACTGTGTATTTTCTTAGTCAATAATGCCAAAAACACAACAACTACAATGTGAGAGTTCACAGGAAAAAATTTTGTTAGAAAGGTTATTCCTATTCAAAACAAGTATCAATGTGTTTGAATGTTTATAGGTATATTCACATTTGGCAACTGGTTATACATTCAGTCATTTTCTGGCATTTTAGATGACTAGATGCGCAAAGACATATGAGTAATGCAAATGGTAAATAATATACATTTGATTATTGGCTTATAAAATGTATTTTTATAATTTACTGTGTCTCACCAGAATGTTTCAATGCAATTCATGAAGCCATTTTGTAACCATCCAATTGAAATTTGGAAAACTGCTAGCTTTCGTGTTTTGCCTAGTCATATCAAATCTACTCCAGAGAATGCAAGAGTTTATTTTAGATTGAAACTAATTTATGCTATAAATATATTCCTTTGTGAAGGCGGATGAGGAAAGCCCTTACTGACATGTCATATTGCCCCATTTAATTTTGCTTGCATAGAAACCTCTGGAAACCCACAGTTGTAGTTAAGAGGATTAGGTAATGTTGACAAATAAACTTAACAATAGAATTTATATACAGAATTATTAGAGAATTGATTCAATACTAATCTTGGTCTTTGAGGAAAATTGTAACATTTTGCTAAATAAATTCTTTAAAATGTACCATTTTATTTCTGTAAAGAATCTTCATTTGTCAGAGGCTATTGTGGAAATATTACAGATATTGGAGTAAAAGAAGTCAGAGTTCAAATTCCCTCTACCATAGAACGTGTTGTCTTAGGCATGGTTAACTTCTCTAAGACTTGATACCTCAAGTGAGTCTACTAATTACCTATCTTCTGAGGTTTTCATGAGAATTACATAGACTAATATATACACAGTGTCTATGTGATAATGTGTTAATAGAAGCTGATTTTTCATAGCACTTAACAGATTTTTTTTCAACAATATTATGGAGAAATTACTCAAGCTTAAAATTCATCACTTATGTGCGCTTAACATGTTTATTAATTTTGAATGATTGTCTTTTCTGCCGTCTTACAGAGGTATAGCTGAATTTTCAACATAAAATATGAATAACAGTGAAAACATGCAATATTTATGTTTCTGTCCCTGGTTTCTTTTACTTAGGATAATTATACAATATGTATACATATTTTGCAATCCCATCCATGTTATCAGAAGGAGAGAAGTTTCTTGTTTTTCAAGGCTAAATTGTATTCCATTGTGTATGTATAACACATTTTCTTTATGCATCTGGAACAGGGTGTAGAATGTGGTTACAGTCTCGAGTATGGAGGGAATGGGGAGAAAATGGTCAACTTCTATATATATTGTGTGGTGTGGTGAATATACTTAGTAATAGAGTATATTACTTTTAAAACTTGTTGAGTAATATGTTCTCATCACAAAAAAATGTTAAGTATTGGGGTGATGAATATGTTAACCAGCTTAATTTAATTATTCCACATTATATTCATAAATTGTAACATCACTTTGTACTCCATAAAATTATACAGTTTTAAGCTGTCAATTGACAATGAAAAAAATAAAATAGAATGAAAGTATCGATTTGATAGGTATAGGAGTCCTTGCAGTCTTTCATTTCATAGTTTTGGAAGAAGAAAGATACTTTTCTAAGTTATGATATAATGTAATCTTTTAGGACATTTCCGTAAAACTGCCACCATGACAATTATTTGTTAAATGCCTGCATGAAAAAGCAGGGAAATAACAGAAAAATTTAGTGGTCCTTATTAATAGGATCGGTGAGCTTCAATTTTGCGGGGTAAGGAGCAGAAGAGAAGTGGAGAACTATTCTATTGAATCATTTGGTGCTGCTTACGTGCATGAAATGCATTCTTTTTTTTGTAGGGTAATATTTGTAAGATTACATTGTATTATGCCCCATTTTGCTCATAATACAGGATTATTTTGTGCGGAGTAGCTCACTGCTTCAAAAGAAAAGGGCTGTTTTTATTCATCACTGAAGTGGTTTATCTATATCTCTTCTTTTATTCAATGACTCCAAAATTAGGTTACATTCATATTCTGTAGTTGAATCCATACTGTTAACCTTTGAAGAATATTTTCTATTAAAATTTGACTTGTGTCAGGTGCATGTTTTGAAATATTTTATTGTATGTTATATCTAACTCTTACTACTCTTGTTTAAAATTCATTTATTACCTTTGTGTACACTATTAAATCGCATAGGACCACTTTTTAAAGAAAGTAATTCTGCAATGTAATAATTTTAAGTATGAAATGTTCATTATTTAACATCTAAAAAAGTAGAATATATTTATCTGTGTCACAGATAGATCCTTTTTTTTTTTTTTATTTCAGGATTTCAAGACGGTTCTTCAGAAAAATGTTGTGGCTTATATTAACCTCCATAGTCCTGTAAGGGGTAATTCTACTCTACGTCCTGTAGCATCACCATCTCTTCAGCAACTGGTAGTAGAGGTAAGATAAACCACTATTGTATCAAATGATTATGAAAAACTGCCCTTTTCTCTCTATTTCGGCATTTCTTGATTTTTTCATTTATTTTTAAATATGCATAAAATATTGTGTACGAGTTTTAAGAAATGATGTATTGCTGGTACTTATCAATATACCTTAACTAATTTCTTATGTTCTGGAATTCTTCACTTGCTAAGCTTTTATGGTTACAGTTCTAGAAGACATGAATACACAGTTATAGAGAAGGTATACAAATATATATATATATATATTAAAATCTGAATTTAGCTCTCAAATTCCCAACTCTGTAATCTTGACATTTTAAAATAAACTTCATTACTTTTGGATTTCTTCTCCTTCATTCATGTTGTAAGTAGATTTAGGACCTGTCCTATTTTTACAACTGCAGTGTAGACCCCCTGAGAACAAGACTATAGTGATAACTAAATTTGAAATGTTAGAAAATATTGTTTGAAAAAATGCTTGTGGAAACATAATGCATGCTTTTTTACTAAGTATCTTGAAAAAAATCAAATATTTTTATGTCTCATTGGAGTTACATTTTTAAATATTTCATCACTTCTCACCTATTTTTAAAAATTTAGCAGAATATTTTTCCCGTTTATTAGTAGGATTAACATTTTTATTTCTGCATTCTTATTATGAATTTCACTACCGATAAAATATGTGCTATTTCTCAGTATAAAAATAATTATACCACAACTTAGAGATGGTTTCCTGTTAACCTCAATGTCTATTGATGTATATTGAAACCAATCTTTCAGACGCCCACAGGACCCTTTAGAGAGTATTGCAGAAACTGGACTAGAAAAAGAGAGAGTAATGAACAGAGCTTGGAAATCGCCGTAATTTTTTATTAAAATGTAGTGGAAAGTAACATTTTTCATAAAGTATTTTTTAGCTTAATAGTTTTTATTGCAACTTCCATATGTAGTACAATAAAGAAGAGATTATGAAACATGAAGTAGATAATTCTGTACATTTAGGATCAGCCAAGCCCCTGTGTGCATGACCTAAATTATATCTGGATCTGTGAGTTAATTTCTCCTGCTCTGTGTACTACTTTGAATTCCCTGATTCTTACCTGCCTGGAAAATTTCCAAAAGCAACTTACCCACAGGTATCTCCCTTGGCAATTTAAGATATTTCTGAATAAGTGGATTATAAGGTAGAAGAAACAATAATCTCAATTATCTAAAAATAGAAGAGGGCTGGTTTAAAAACATGTCATTTTCTTATCATGTGTGATAATTTTTCTATTTTGAAAATCTTGTAAGATATATAATCATTGAAATTAATGGGTAAATAGAAACAGTAAATTATTAAGAAGTATCAGACTTACATAATGTTATTTCTGAGAATATAATGTTATTTAAAATATCTTTGCACATCATATAACAGGACTAAAATATTTTAGTATCTAAACCTAATTATGTGAGAATATAGCATGGTTTCTCAATCATGAATGATGATTGATTATTCATGAATGATGACATACATGTCAACATGTACCTCGCTTTTTGGAAGAGGAATCTTTTTTGTTCGGTAATTGAAAATGTTTACACACTAACAAATCTAAAAATGAACTGCAATGTGTATAGAAAATATTTTTTTCCATTGAGACTGTGTGTGTGGGGGTGTGTGTGTGTGTGTGTGTGTGTATGTTTGTGTGTGTGTGTGTTCATGTTTGATAGAACAGCATAGAAGGTTAGGAATATCACAATTTCAAGCAAATGATAGCATTATGTAATTTCAAACAATGGGGATTACTTATATATATGTGTGTATATATATATACATATATATATATATATATATATATATATCATTTTAATGGGATGAATATATATGATAATGTAGGACATAATCTCATGCAAACACTTGGAACCAACCCAAATGGTCGTCAATGATAGACTGGATAAAGAAAATGCTGCACATATACACTATGGACTATTATGCAGCCATGAAAGAGGATGAGTTCATGTCCTTTGCAGGGACATGGATGAAGCTGGAAATCATCATTTCAGGAAACAGACACAAGAACAGAAAACCAAACACCACATGTTCTCACTCATAAGTGGGAGTTGAACAATGAGAACACATGGACACAGGGAGGGGAACATCGCATACCAGGGCCTGTCAGGGGATGGGGGGATAGGGGAGGGATAGCAGGGGATGGGAGGATAGGGGAGTGATAGTATTAGGAGAAAGACCTAATGTAGATGATGGGTTGATGGGTGCAGCAAACCACCATGGCATGTGTATACCTATGTAACAAACCTGCACGTTCTTCACATGTACCCCAGAACTTAAAGCATAATAATAAAAAATTATATATATATTTAAACTCTTAAATATATAAAGGCCTATATGTTTTATCAACACTCAAATATATAAAGGTTAAGAGATAGGAAGAAAACTAAACTTTACAGTGATTGATATGATTTAATTAAAACAAACACTAGTAAAATTTAAAAGAAATATTTAAAATGTTTCTTTCAAATAAAAAAACTAAAATGATAACATCAGAACATATGTAACTTCACTTCCAACATCAAAGATTTCATCAATGATTAAGGACAAACTATTTCATTAATTCATTTAGATTTATTTTTCTTTGAGTCTACATGCAGTAGTGGGATTGCTGGGTTGAATGGTAGATTGTGTTAGTTCTTTGAGAAATCTCCATCTGTTTTTCACAGAGATTGTACTAATTTGCATTCCCACCAACAGCATATAAGAATTCCCTTTTCACCACATTTATGCCAATATCTATTTTTTAATTTTTTACTATTGGCCATTGTGGCTGGGATAAGGTGGTATCTCATTGTGGTTCTTTTATTTGCATTTCCCTCATGATTTGTGAAAAATGCATATTGTCTAAATTGTAAATGACACAGGAATGTATACAGTATCTAATCCTTTGTGTAGAAATATGTAGATTATAATAGATCTCATCAAGTTCATATGGTAGATTTAAATATATAAGAGGAAATATTTATTAGTATCAAATACTGCATTTAATTTTTTAGAAACTAGACACATATAGCATATTTTAAAGGATTACAAACTTGCTCTGAAAGAAAACTGTAAAATTATTGTCCTAAATCGAACACCAGTTTTAACTACATTTATAACATGTTATTCCAATCTGGGAGTTGGTAGTCCCACTGTATTTGCTCTATCAGGCAATGTCTTGGTATGATATTCTTATTACTCAAGTCATAATTACTAGATATGTTGAGGTATAATTCACGTAGAGTAAGATTATCCACTCTTCAGTGTACAGCTTGATGAATTATGGCAAATGTATGCAATGTAACATTTATATATTTGATTATGATTATGTATGCACAAACATAATCAAGATATACAGCTTTCTGTCACACAGAAATTTCCATTATACTCCTTTTCATTCAATCTTCTCCCTTCCTCTCCAGTTTTTGGCAACCACTGACCCCATTTTTACTCCTCTAGTTCTGCCTCTGAGAATATTTTAAAAACTGGAATCATACAATCCATATTCCCTTATGTGTGGCTTCTTTCACTTAGCATAATGATGTTTAAGATTTACCTATGTTGTTACCCGTGTTAATAGTTCATCTTCTAGACCACTGAGAAAGTAATTGGAACAGAGGCGAGTGCAATACCTTTGGAACTCTCTCTCCAGTTTGATATACTGACTTTGATTTTAAAAGGAGAGGACTTCAAAAATTAAAATTGAGAAGAGAAGTCAGTTCCTGGAGGGTAGTCTACTAAATTTGAACTCTATCACCCTGGGAGGAGAGGGTGAAATCTTTTGAAGATCCAGACAGGTTTAATGAGTCTGAATTATAGGTTTTTTTCTTAGAATTTATGAAACATTTGACATTAAAAAGATGTCTGAAGAATGATGAAAATTTGATGGCTGGGTAATAGGAACATGTGGATTCATTGTCCTGTTCTGTTTTCTTTTGGGTTTAATTGTAAGTATTTGTTATAACTTGAAAAAATATTTAAAACTACTTTATTTTTCTAAGTTATAACACAGATAATTAAATTAAATACGAAGGTTCCCTTTTCTCCACAGACTCACCAATGCTGGTGAAGTCCAGCATTTATTATTACCTGTCTTTTGAATATAAGCCATTTTAACTCGGGTGAGATAATAACTAATTTTAGTTTTGATTTACAGTTCTCTGATGATGAATAATGCTGAGCATCTTTTCATATGCCTGTGTGCCATTTGTATGTCTTCTTTTGAGAAATGTCTATTCAGATCTTTCACCCATTTTTGAATCAGATCATTATGTTTTTTCCTATAGAGTTGTCTGAGCACCTTACGTATTCTGTTTATTAATCCCTTGTCAGATGGGTAGTTTGCAAATATTCCCCCCCCACCATATTTTGTGTTATCTCTTCCTCTGTTGATTGTTTCATTTTTGTTGTGGAAGCTTATTAACTTGATGTGATCCCATTTGTTCAGGTTAGCTTTGGTTGCCTGTGTATTACTCAATAAATTTTTGTCTAGACCAATGTACCGGAGAGTTTCTCTAATGTTTTCTTGCAATAGTTACTAGTGTGAGGTCTTAAATGTAAGTTTTTAAGCGATTTTAATTTTTTTTTTTATGGTGAAAGATAGAGGTCTAATTTCATTCTGCTACATATAGATATCTAGTTTTCTGGGCACCATTTATTGAAGTGATTGTCTTTTCCCCCAGTGAATGTTATTGGCAACTTGGTCAAAAATAAGTTCACCATAGGTATGTGGATTTGTTTCTGGGTTCTCTATTCTGTTTCATTAGTCTGTGTGTCTGTTTTTCATGTCAGTGCCACTTCTGTTTTGGTTACTGTAGCTCTGTAGTATAATTTGAAATCAGGGGATGTGATGCCTTCAGTTTTGTTCTTTCAGCTTTGGCTACTCTGGGTCTTTTGTGGTTCCACAGAAATGTTAAGATTGTTTTTTCTGTTTCTGTGAAGAATGTTATTGGTATTTTGAT